AAACTGCATGGGATTCTGTATGTAAAGATAAGCAGTTAGAATTCCTCCTACAGGTTAGCACAAAGCAAGCCAATTGCGTGCAGTGTAATGTGCAGCTCCTGACATTTACAATATCTCATAAACTCCCCCTGCAAATTTAAGTTGGCAAAGTGGTCATTCTTCCAGTCTTCTGGACTTGCTACAAAAGGGTGTGTTGTGGTTTAGGAATCATTTCCATAAAGCTGTCCAAAGCCTCCAAACATGTGTACATACTTAGATGGATTGACTTTCACTGTACTTGCATCTAATTTCTTTTCTCTTCAGGTAAGTAAATGGTCAACAAATGTCAAGACGTGAACATACACGAAAAGTGAATTTCAACGCTGCACATGTAAATATTTTTAGAATAGCTGTTTTTATTTTATGCACATAAGTGCTTGTACCAGAAATTTCTGTGCACTGATTCAAAAAAAAAGATTGAGTTACTTAATTGAGGCCAAAAAAGTCAGCACAGTCAAAAAGTAAATATCCAATGTGTAGGGATGCAAATATGTTAGTCTTAAACTATGGATGTGTAAACAGTGCACCCAAACACTTCCTAAATATGCCAGTGCAGTTAATATAGAATTGATTTCTAAAGCAGCCTGTTTATTGCTATCTCAGCAATGTGGCCATAAATTTCCCACATAAAGTATTCAATAAAGTGCCTGATTCTAAGCCCACTGAAATCAGTGGAGTTCTTCTGTTACATTCAGGGGATTTTCTAGGGGTGAAGTTACAGAACCTAGCTAGAATTATTGTTAGTCTTTGATTGCGTGATGTCTATGAAGGTAAACAGATGACTGCTACTCAACTTCAAACCTGTCAGAAACATCTGACAACTTTCCTTTCAATTAAGATGCAAAAGATGAGTAAATTTAGAGAGGTTCTTAGTTTTCTGTTGCTTACAAACTCTCAAATTAGTTTAGAAGGTATGGATGTTAATGAAGCTTCAGATGTATTCAATGGTGGTTTGTTATCCAGGAAAGTGGTATATCATTGAGAACTGCTGATCGTGTTTAGCATGAGCTTAGAAACTTTTCTTACCAGATGTGAATAGCAGAATATAGGACTATCCACTCTCATTAGTTCTTGTTGTCTGATTCAGTTTTTATAAGTATTTATAAGCAGAATTCCTTATGCTTACTTTTGAAACAGTGTTTTCTCTCTTTTGGGAGAGGTTGCTTCACAATTGATGGGGATAGGTTCCTGCCTCTTACTTTGAAGCACACAGTGTTGAGCACTCCATTTGATGTGCTACTGAACTCTGTGGACCCTTTGGTCTGTGGCGGTATTTCCTCTGAAGTCTTGTACCTCAAAGCACAAAGCTATTAGTCTATAAAAGTTACATTTGCTGTGTAGGGTGAGGGGTTTTTCAGGATATTCTTGGTTCACCCACTCCTCACAAATTTGTGTTCATAAGATATGATAGATGTAGACTGCCGTGACTGAACATTGTCTTTACTTCTTGTTCTTAGGTAGCTTTTTACAATTACTCACATCTGGGCAGACTTGTGAATTCTGTGAATTTCCTTTACCGAATCTGGCATGAAAATTTCCCTGTAAAAATGTGTTTTATTTCTTACACACAAAGAATGGATTACAACCCTGAGAAAAAGTACTATCAGAGGAAAATAGCCATAGCTCAATACATTTGTTGACAATTTCACTATTTTGTTTAAAAAACTGCCAGGATTTGTTCCTACAACAGATCATGATTTTTTGCAGGCCTTGTGAGAAGAACAGTGCTTTTGTTCCTCCAAACTCATATTTTTTAACTGTCAGCATAAATGAAAGCAAGATGGTAACAAACTTTTCCCAGACACAAGAATGGAGAGAACAAATATAAAGTAAGCCTGTATTCAGATAAAGTATTTAAATAGCAGTGATATAGAGTAGCTAGGGGAACTTTTTTTGCAATGATGCACTTGTGTTCTTCAAAAAAAAATGTTTCTAACGAATTATTTTAGCATATGTTGAAAGGATAGAAGGTCCTTACATTTTGCGTGTTTAATTCCAAACCACTGAAGAGGGAAGTAATTAAAATAATGTGTGTCTCCAAAGAAATGTGGAATTGACATTTTATTCCTAACCAGATTTCTCTTATTACTGACTGTTACTAGCAGAACGGCACCAGTTGTTATCAGATTTTGGATTGCTTGCTTTGCTAAGTTTGCAGTGTACAAATATTTTATAATTGATTTTAACCATCTCTAATGAAGTATTGTAGAGGTCCCATTCCTTCCTGTTGTAAGCAACTGTCCCGTTGACGTCAGTGGCACCTTGGCCTGAATTAAGCCTGAATGACTGAAACCAGACTTAGGCTTTCTAGAGTGTTTCATTTTACTAAGTGTAGAACCACTTCAACCTGAACTGTTGCCCAACTCTTAAGGCTTGAAAACAAAAGCCAAATATGTTTGTCAAAATCCGCCTGTCACTACCTTGGCATGTAAATTGCAATTTGAAGTGATTTCTTCCAAGTCTGAGGCTTAGAGGTTTCTCCCTGCTTTCCCTCCCTGCCAAATACTGGACAGCTGAAAGATTTGGCCTGGATTCTTAGCAAGTTTTCCCTTCCCTCACTCAATGTAAGTGGTGAGAATCAGCATATTTCTGTTGAACTTAGAGGTGCCTTTCTTGAAGTATTAGATGAATTAACACATCACAGTACTCTCACCTCTTCCTACGGTTTGTTCCTGTGCTGGTGGAGATAGAGACAGTCAGCTCTGTCAGCTGCATGGTTTTAGGAAATGATCTGCTCTAAATTCATGTTCAGGCTAGCTTCGTGTGAACAAATTTTGTTCCAGAGAGAAGTGTCTGTTTCTCTTAAGGGTAACCACACCAGCTTTCTACTTGTGGCCTGTTTTGGAAATACTTCTTTTCAGTCATTCTCCAACTGCCAAATAGATGTTTGGTGTTTCTGGTCTTCCTGCTTCCAGTTCAGCCTGCCCAGCAGAAGACAAAAGTTTGCATGTGTTCTTGATGTAAATATACAACCTCAGGAACCAAGTTCAAGCTGTACCAATTCCCCTGTAGTGCTGAGGCTGAAGACATAAGTGCTTGGGTGCATTTTAGCATCCTTAACAAGTTTTCCGTAAGCTGCAGTGCATACCAGTAACACAGAGCAGCAAGTTCTTGTTACACTAGTTGCACAAGTTTGGGTCCACACCTGAGCTGTACAGCTGAACTTGATGAGCTAATCCAAATACTGGATAAGTGAATATAATGCCCCTTGTGTTTCCTTGTTTTTACAGCTGGGGAAGCAGATGTCAGATTGTGTTATTTGAGTGGTTATTCTTCTCATTTTTGCAATATAATCTAGTTGCTAGTAAGTACAGGGCCTAGGGACTTAATTATGGCCCCAAAATTCAGGGATCAAAGCGTAAGGAAATGTCAGATTCCCCTTTTATTCTCACCTTCTGAAAACCGCACCTTGAATCTATTTCATGGTGAGGGAAGAACCCTAATATTTCAAGTTTCAGTGCACAGATAGAATCACAAATTGAGCTGTTCCCCAGATCAGTGGAACTAAATCAAAACATTGTGAATAGATTCTACCACCACCTCATCCACTAAAAAGTCAAAATCATACCCCAAGCATGATGTGATAACAGAAAATGCGCAGAACCACTTTAAATCATAAAGAAGCAAAGCAAGAATATAGGGATTGCATTTTGCTTTACAAAGGCTTAAGCACAAGAACATGACAAAGAAAACCTTTTTTATTATGCTGTTCAAATGAAAGTTCTGTAAGGTATAATTTCTTACAGTTCACTTCAAAGTCAGGTTCTTTGACTATATTGCGTATACAGCCTTTTGCTATAAATGATCTGTCTTTACATGAGTTATGAACACATCGTATATTGTCTTTGTAAAGGCATTAGTTTTCCTAGCTGTCATTATTTGCCATTGTAGTGAGTTCCTTTGAGCTCAACCCCCCCTTATTGTTTTCGAAGTGCTGAATTTAGTTTACCCAAACCCCTGCCAACAGTTTGTGTATCGCTACTGGTCTTTCACTGTGCTGTCTTCAGAGGAGAAATAGCAGCCACAAATGTTTCAGAGCTACAAATGCAGACCTCAAGATGCCTACTGTAGCCAGGCATGGTGTAACAGACACGAGGTTCTTTATGGTAACAGTGGTGTCCCTTTGTTTCTACAGGGTAGGACTCTCTGCTCGGCAGGTGTATGCCCTGATATCCTTCTATTCCCAACACAGAAATATTAACTGATTATTCAGATTAATTTGACAGCTGATTCAATTAGCCTGATGCCCATCTTCCTTTCTTTATCCCGGTCAAATCCTATTTTCCCCTGGAGGTCCATAATGTAATTATTTATACACAGATTGATATTTTTGTTTTATAATTCAGCTGTTAATTTCTATACCTTTTTGGTTTTGATTCCAAGTGTTTGATTTGAGTGTGCCTTTTCCTGTGTTGGCCCATATTGCAGAATGCTTTTTTGCTTAGGAATCAGAAAAAGCCCATCTTTCTACAGCTCTGATGCTCTCCTGCTCAGTGCTTCATCTCACTTCATTGAACTATTGAAGTAGCTGAGCAAACAGAGGTCTGCTCTGAGATATTTTGCAAGTAGAGAAACAGGCCAAGCCCGTTGAACAAATGATTATTTTAAAGCCCTGAAGTCAGCTCAGTTTGGCATGTAGTTGTCTTTGTCAGAATATTGCTGTGTTTCCTTGCCCTGGCAAAGTTGTTGCAAGCAAAAGTGGTACATTGGGGAAGATTTGTGTCTTTTGTCCAATTCCATTTTGCTCTGTGGCAAGTATTGCATTTGTACAGGAGAAACCAAAGCTGGCAGAGGCAAGAGTCTTAATCACACAGGAATACAGATCAACATTACAACTGCGTTTTAACCTTAGTCTTCTGATGCTTATTCTAGAGGCTGGATGCTAAGCTATTTTACCTTCCAGAGGAAACATTCTTAGACATAGAATTTTGAATAAATAGCAAAGTCAAGTCAACACTTACTCATAAAATTCAGCTGCAGGAGTGAGCTTGTACTTTGAGTATTTGGTACCATTGCCAAGCACTGATGCATTGAAGAGTTTGGGATCTGTACAGTTTGGGCTGTTCCAACTGTTGTCGCAGTTTGTCCAGGGGAGCTCAAATGTGAATGATGAAAATAGATAATACAGAGACCAAGCTATGATAACGTTGTAGTAGAAACCCACGTAAAGAGCTATGAGTATCACTGCATAGCCTACACCTAAAGACAAAGGAAAACTAGATTACACATTGCGTTTTACATGCAACGGTATATGCAAACACTGCAGCTGAACTCAGCCATACATGGTTGCAAATTCATTTTAGATCTTCAGACCAATAAAAGGAATTTTTAACATTTACATACACACATGCAGACAATGTGTCATTGACCTTAAAACAAAAAATTACATTAAAGATTTTGGAAAATGACTGGCTTTTATCAAATTCACTTGTTTGCCAGAAAAAGAAATTAAGCATTGCGATATAAAAATTTGTTCTTGTACAACTCCATTGCTGATTTGCTTCCAATGCAGAAGATTGCAAGCCCATGTTAAGAGTCAAACTTACTTCATCTTCATAATGTCAGAGTCCTTGGCAACTTTTGTTGGAAAAGTAAAGCTCAAGACCTAAGTGAAGTTTCCCTATGCCTCATGTTCCCACCCTGAGCTAGTTTGGAATAGACGCCAATCCTTCCTCTGTTTCTTTCCCATTGTTGCTCTCCAGATTGGCTTCCATCAGCGTGTAACTAGGTCCAAAACATGCATGAAACAGTCTGTGCTGTTCCACTGAGGGGCTCCAAGTGGTTCTTGGGCATGCCAGTAAATCTTGGTGAATATCAAGCTTGAGGCTAAACTGTGTGTGGACCTTCAAACCATTTTATTGTCTCCCCAGGATTACAGAATCCCCACTGTAAGCATTTTCTTTTGACTTTGAACATTTGTTTTGTATTTTTGCGTACTGAGAAGTGTGTTTGGAGTGTCTCTTTAATGAGAGAGCCCCAGAGAGTGTGTGTTCTCGTCATGGAAGTGGTACATTTTCCAATAGTTTGGGAGGAAGCTTTGGTACTAATGTCAGAGCAGAACAAAAGTTAGTTGCCAGAATTGTTCAGGAAGCTTGCTTTACCTTGGCTTATATAATTTTTCCTTTACTCTGTGTGCAGCATTGTTATCTGAATCCCACCCCAAAGTTGTATGTATTACATATAACAGGAGGAGACTACAGCTGTTTTATAACTATCATCACTGTACTGTCGCAGCACCTAAGTGTAAACCTTTACTTCTAATTTTCTTCAGTTTAGCTTTTTGGAGATACTGCCTTGGAGGTGTGGCAGCTGGAGATTATTAAGCTTTTGTATTTCTTGATAAAGCGAGGAAGTAGCATACACTTTGAATATTAATCCTTAGTTTAAAATTTGCATAAGGAACAGATGTTGACCCTGAAGGAGTTGGCAGTTCAAAGACTGCTGCATATACCAAAGTTACTCTGCTCTTCATGAGGCTTTTAATACATAGACCAGTTTGTACATACATAACATTGGGGAAAATATTGTGAAAGTAAAGATGAAACTGTATCTTCAAATCCTTGGTGCATAAATGAATCCAGTACATTAACACTCAAACTCTAGTGATACATTATGATCAATAGAATGGAGCGAAGTGGGGAATCACCCAAGAGGATAATTCTTAAATATTAATGTGAATGGTAAAATACGAAGTATATATAATATATGTTGCACTGAAATTGGATGATTTCTGTTTGAAAAAAGTGTTCCTGAAATTCCTCCAATTCAGGAGGACAATGATAGATATTTAATACCAAGATTAAAAAATACTGGATCAAATGTATCTTAAATGTCACTCCTGAAATCATAAGAATGTTTAGGAATGAATTTGCTCTCCTGTTTCCAGGTCTAGTTTTTCTTAAAAGTAATGCTGCACCACCCACATGCTAAAATAGACGCTGGGAAATGTGGAGATGAACAGTCTGTGTTGCAAAGGTTACAGGGTATATTTTTAATTGCATGTGTTATGAGAGCATCTCTTTAGAAGTAGAGTCCTTGGAGTTCATAGTAATAATAGTCATAGCTAAAATTAGTACTATAGTGCTGTTCATTTAGAGAAGCTGCTATAAATTTGTGTAGACTGTGTACTTTTCATTTGAGTGAGAGATTTGAGTTATTCCAGAAACAACTCAAAAACGTTAGCAGTAAAATGTATTTGTACGTTATCAGAAGATTTGGTCAAAAGTTTAAAAGTACTGAGTTGATACTTGTGCTAAGGTGCAAATACAATTCAATGCTTATTACGTTTTGAGAATCAAATAATTTATGCTATTCTATATCCTAGTAATAAGAGCACTTAAAAATCAACAGTGATGTATGTTTAGTCCACCTTGAAAATGTCAGCTTAAAAACACAGCTGGAATGTCAACATGACTATACATGAAATAAGTCCTATTCTCCTTTCTCATCATCTTTTCAATCCTGAAGTCAACAGATAGAGTACCTCCGAGCACAGTGGTATTTGGCTCAAACACTTTGAGATCCTTAAGGTCTAATTTTTGCAGTTAGGTTTTCAAAATCCTTATTGCCATCCAAAGGTATTAACTGATACTGGCACAATTTTTGATTGAGCAAGAGTCTTCAGGTTTCCAAGTGCTGCGATGATTTTTTATTTTTTATTTTTTTTTTCTCCTGTGAAGGGATTATAGAAGGGCTAGGTAAATCTATAGGAATTAATTTTAAAATTTTGGGGCACACATTTTATTAGCTCGCTTATTTATTTTGCTGTTAGTTTTGGGTTTGACTGGTAAGAAAAAAACCCTGCAGTTTTCCTATTCTGCGACACTAGACTCCTTGAAGAGGAACACTGTATTTTGAGAAAGAAGACTAACATTTACTCAGTGTAACCTATATCTAAACACCAGATCTGCCAAGTTTGGATTGCTATTGTTAAGCTCCTCAGCTTTTGTCAGTCACAGGATGAACATGATCTGAATTTTAAGCTTCTAAGATCAGCTGAGCTTGACTGGTTTCATTTCAGATAGCTCTGTGTTAAGAAGGCTTTTACGTAAGATTTTAGATACAATCTGATGTAGATAAAAGGGAACTTACAATTTTTGCTGGTAAGAAAAGCTTAAGAAAATTCTTGAGGCTCCTTAACAAATACTTGTTTCATGTATGGAAATCACATGGCTTCTTTCACCCAAGGAGATCCCTTTATCCCTGGTCAATGCCAAACACCCTATCGGTATCCAAATACCTAACCCCAGCTATCGCTTCCTTGCAGAGTGATTGCAACTCAGTGCACAAGAGAACGCTGCACAGCCTTTTATTTAGTGATGATAGAGAGTTAACCCTAGTGGAAAACACTCAATAGTAATAATAATGTTCAGGTTTTAATAAGCGCTTTTCATTGCTAGATTTGAAAAACACTTTGCAGAGTCTATCAGAATCATTGCTCCCATTTCAGAGGCAGGAAAACTGAGGTAGAGAGCCATAGATGACTCGTGTGGTGTTACAAGTGTAGTGGCTGAACTACAGTCTTTGCAACTGCGTTTTAGTGTTCTAGCCACTGTGGTACGCTGGCTTCAGAGAAATCTCCACACAGTGAACTGAATGGAGTCAGTGGTCATCTCAGTCACTAAGGGAGACAGGGCTGAACTGACCTGGATGGGATATGATATTTCCAAATGTTTGCATTGCCAACCCTTCCCTCTACCTAGAGATACCCAGTTCTCCTACTCCCCAACATGCAAAGAAAAGGGAGGACAGGGCTGAACTGCTGCTTATTGCTCTCTGTTGCACTCCTCAGCTATCACCCTGAAGATGATTTCTGTGGCTTTTCCCATTTTGTGCTCCACCTGTGATAACAAAAAGACTTCTGACTTCAAGGGTTGGTTGGAAAGGTCAGCAAATACCATGCTGTCTGTGGAAAGGTGAGAGACTTTGTGATCACAAGTGTGCGGCACCCTCACGGTGTTACTCAGGTGAGCAGTGGGACACTTACCTTTGAAAACTGGACAGATTTTCCACACAGTGGCAGCCCCTTCTCGGTTGTACTGTCCCAGTGCTAATTCCATATAGAACAGGGGCATTCCAGCAATGATTAAGAAGAGGATATAGGGAATAAGAAAAGCACCTGGAAAGAGAATAATTGGACATTGTAGTCTATGTTTTGATTACATTTTGCTTTCTCTATTGCTTACCTTTACTGGCTAAAGACAAAGCCACTGCCTTTGGGAAGTAGAAAGGAAATACCAGCAAGGAAGAACCCATGTTCTCTTGTCTCTTTCCTATATTTTTTTTTTACAGTCTCAGAGACAGAACCTATGAAAAAGCTGTAGACCGTGCTTATTTGCCCCTAATGTTTCCCCGCTGCTTTTGGGCTTCAAAGGGGAAAAAAAATGTGTCCCTGAAAATTAATCCCTAACTGAAGAAGAAATGATGCTGAACACACTTGCAGAGCTAAAAGGGAAAGGGACTATGAATGGAGGCCAGCAACAGAGGAAAAAAAATGTCGTGTGAGTTCCTTTAAGTGTGGTTTATATCGTACTGTGTAAGGTGTCTGCAGGAACCTCTGTATTGGTAATTAATCGCTACTAGTCAATCAGAGAATTTGGATTTCCATGGCATATTTTGGTTTTTGCTATAATAAATTCCCTTATTCTTATGAAATGTGATTAGACGACACACCTCTGCCCAACCTAGTACTAGGTTTCACTGCTAGGCCCAAGTTACAGCATCTTTATATTGCACCATGCCAGTGCCAGGGCTGCTTGCACCTTCCTGGAATACATAACTTTACTCGACTGAAGATTCTCCTGTGAGTTCATACCACAGAAACTGTCACCTGTGGAAAAATCCTGATGTGTCAGTGCTACTATCAAAAAAAGTGTTGCCAACTGAAATACAAAAGGATCATCTAATGTAGAAAATATCTGAAAATTTCTTAGCTGTTTTATATGATCCAGGTCACAGAAAGGCGACTCGCCCAGGGCATGGCTACATATGATACTATAAAACAATTATAATTGGTGTCATGTTTAATAACTAGATGGTCTGTCAGTCCTCTGCTTTGTGGTAGCTGTAAAGTGTAGCTTTTATTGTGTAGCTTGCTTTTCATCCAGAATAGTTCAATTCATGTCAAATTGTCTGTATAAAAAAATTATTAGACATTGTTTTGATAAATAAGGAGCTGACAGAGTAACTGCATATCCTGAATAACTGACTGCAGTCCTTAGGAGTTACGTATGAAAAAGAAACTAGATTGTGAAAATCATGGTTAAATTGTTCAGCAAAAGAAAAACAGCAGCAACTGCCTATTTCTCCTAATAGCAAGTAGTACAAACTTTTGCAAACCTTTAAAATCTGCTGGTTTAGTAATTTGAAAATTTTCCTTGCGAAAGGAATTAAGTTTGCGTTGCTTCTAAATATATAAACTCAGAGAAGATATGTGTAGTCTAGAAAAGTATAAAAGCGTGACTGTAGCTATCTGAAACATTCCAGTAAGCAGAACGAATTGCATATTTAAAAAGTACTTCTGAAATTACTGTCGTGCTTTTAAAAGTCTGAGTTGCTCCTTTACCTTGCGTGTTTGCTTTTCACAGATATTACTAGTGTAAGCTGCCTAGCATGACTGTTCAGAGAGGGAATTTTGAGTATTTGCTGGAAAATAAGAATGGAAAACCAAAGTGTTCACTTAGTCATACCACAAACAAATCTACTTCTAAAAGTAATGTGCTGTGACATGATGGTAAGGACAGGGTATTCAGCATTCAGTCATAAGTTCAGGCATTTGAAAGTTGAAATCTTGCAATGAAACAGAGACAAGGTATATAAACAGAAATAAAAAATAGCTTAAAGCTTTGAGAATGTATCCTTAAAGGTGAATTACATTGGTTTGTATCACTTGGGGGGCAAGAATCTTCTTATTCATTATGTTTCTATGGAGTGTAGTGTTAATGCAACGTGCATTCACATAAGCTATACTACAGTACCAGTGATACATGTTTTAATAATATTTCAGTGTTGTTTGTTAGCTGCTTTCTATGATTGTCATGTTGAACTGTCATAGGTTTGAATGCTGTAGAGAAAAAATACTTGTATTCAACAAATACTTGATGTCCTGCAGTTCTGAGCTTTCTTAGTGTTGAAACATACTCAGCTAAATCAATCTGGGATACAACATATTGCTTTCACTATATCTAGAAAAATTATTTTAGGTGGTTTTACTGTCAGATGTCTTGTAAGTGACAGCCTTTGAAGTGCCATACTTGTCTCGCTTAGTATTACAGCGTGTGGAGCTGACTCACAAACCTAGCTTGTATTTGGGAGGGTATGGAGTTTGCACAGAGTGCTGTTTGATTAACCTTAATGTCAAGAGACTGTGGAAAACATGATGCCACAAATTGAATAGGGAAATTTGTGTTTGAGAAAATGAATTCTGGAGATGTGTAGTGGACGTACATATTAAATGCTAGTTTAAAATATGTGGTTTTTAAGTATGACTAACACCATGATGAACCGTGAAGTGTACTGTACTTAGGCATACTTACTTAAGCGTTGTCTATTTGGCTGCGAGTCATTCCAGGCTTCAGTTAAAGGAGGTTTCTTTCTTTTTTTTTCTTCCCCCGCCCTGCCTCCGCAAGGGATTAATAAGGTGTGGTGTAATTTTCAGCAAAGAGCAGTTACACAGTATGGCAGGGTTGCATAGCTGGGATACTTTTCAGGTAACAAAATGATTGAAGTATTTTGAAATTGGGTTAAATATCAAAGTAAGGCTGCTTAGTCACATTAAGTTGACTTAATGTTTTGGAGACTTCTGGAAACTTCATTTAGCAGCTTCTGATTAGGTAAAAAATACCAAAAAGTCAGGTATTTTGTAAATATCTTGATATTTGCTCTTCTCTTCCTAGCCAATATGCAGAATCAACCTTCATGGTGTTCACTGAACCCTTTCTGAGATCATGGGCACTTTAAAGGAAAACAAAAGATGGTCAAAGTATCGTTCAAATTGCTGCAAACTACAATGGTATGCAAATGCTTATAAACAGCATATATGTGATATATGATCAATCTCACTCTGTGACTGTACAGGACTGATTTGTATACAGTATCTTATGAACAAGAGGTGTTGTTTGGAAGGAGACTTCATACTGTCCTGCATGTGTGAACATCCTGTGGGCCAGGGAGGAGGCAAACCGGCATCCTGGTGGGCCTCTTGCTTTACGTCCACTGGTGTGAATTTGAGCATCATACCAGACTTCTCTGAAGGAGCAGCCTTGCTGCTGTTAATGCCTACCTGGTATATGAGGTCAAAATGTGTTAGGAAGGTGACATGATGCCAGCTGTGTTGTTCTTGCCTGTGCCACTGGCCGCAGAAACTGCTGTGCTTTAATTGCATGAATCCAAGGGGCCAGTCAGATCTGTATATCCCAGACAGACAGCTGAACTCTTCGGGAGCACACAATTTGGCTAATGCTTTAGATTAGCTTGCCAAGATCTACCTACCTCAGAGAGCTGAGGGAATGCAATCTGTGGGATTGCTGCACCGGCAGTAACACACTGATAGCGCTCGAGGGGATTCCACTCCCTCACTGTGTGATGGGATGAGGCTGAGCACACAGCTGCATCCCACAAGGCAGTACTGGTCTCAGCAATCCCTAATGGTGCCTAATTTCCCTTTACAGTTAAAAATCTGCAGTAATTAACATCTGTAATACAGCCCTCGCATAAGAGCCGTACTTGACTTGCTACTGAGTCACATGCAGCTCAAAAGCCACAGGCTGGCCTTGGACTGTTGCGAATCGCTGCATCTCTCTGTTAACAGATTTCATGAGATCTATATACATCCCTTAAGGTACCAGTGTATACATGGAGTTAAGGCAGCATTGTGTCTTATGCAAAACTAGATTAGGTCAAACCCTCAGCTTGTACAAGAACCATCTGTGTGAAACTTCAAGTGGAAACTTACACAGAAGTTTTTAAAAAAACCTATTACATTTAATTAATGGAGGACAAAATACAAGACAGGCTTTGCATTCCTGTGTTCAGTGCCAAAACAACTTCTTAATTTTGGTATAATAGAATCCACGCAAAGAGTTTCTCCTTCCTCTGTTCTTCAGCATTCACAGCATCCTAGGGGGTGGGAAGCAAAGAGGAATACATCTCTAAATACTCCTCTTAATCCTACAAGGAGGTCTCATCTTGCTTTTAAATACCAGAAAGAAAGAAGCATTAATTTACTAATGACTGACAAAGGAACGTTTAAACAGCTGCTGTTATCCTAAAAGGATTTGTTGATGCACATACAAGCAGCAGGTCAGGCCAGGAGTAGTTGAAACAACTTTGAACTATTTGTGCTTGTTAGCCTTCTGAGTTTGTTACCATGGTTATTCTAGTCAAAATGTTAACTCTGCTAAAACAACAAACTTTGAGCAAATATTGCAGTATATTTTCAGAGAGGAGTGTTTCCAGTATTGGTGCAGGAAAAGAGTCTAAAAACAAAGATCTCCCGATTGGTGAATTGAAATACAAGCTAATCTCTGTATCTGATCCACACCGCTTGGTTTTTCCATACAGAATAAATAGTTCTTCAAACTATCAGCAAACAGTTGATAGAATGCAGTATGTTTGCTCGGACAATGAGGACAATGGGTGGAAACTCTAATCTGTGCAGACTCTTGCGAATGAAAAAGGAAGACCCCAATGCAGAGATATTGAAATCTAGATTGTACAAGATTACCATAAGTAGAAAAACTAGGTAATCGGAAAGGCAGGCATTTCTTAGTACATGAATGTGAGTTTGGGCTCCAGCAGACTAGCTACCAGCTGGCTTACACAGCCACTGAGGTCACCTCTGAAGGAGATGAGCTTGAGCCTGCTGCTTGACTCCAGGGAAGAAGGGGTGGAAGGCTAGACCTTTACTGACCTGAGATTAAAATCAATAAGGGTTTGCATGGTACAGCAAAGAGAAGTCAGAGGTACAAAGTAGCATGATGTAACCTCAGTGTCAAAGCCAAGACAATGATTTTAACAGCAGCTGCATGATGATGTTGAGCTCAGCCAACAATAGATTATAGTAGTCAAAAATAACATTTTTCTGCAAAACAGATTGCATGACATACTATAAAAA